CAGGAGACAAATCGCTTGATCATTGTCTTCTGTCCACCCTCTCTGGGGCACCTGGTGCTGGCCACTGTCGGTAGACAGGATACTGGGCTAGATGGACCTTTGGTCTGACCCAGTACGGCCGTTCTTATGTTCTCCTGCCCCAGCCCCGACCCCCGCTCCAAAGCTGGAGGCCACCCCAAAACTCCCCTCCTCAGTCCCACCCTGATCCCAACTCTAGTTCCATTATGTTGGGGGAAAGGAAGGGACCATTATACTGGGTCGCGGCATCAATGATTTTCTTCAACTGGGTGATGAGAAAAAAAAGTTTGAAAACTGCTGGTCTGGTCAGTCCTGGGGGGGGGGCTCTGAAAACAGAAACCTAACCATAGGCGGAAGGGGACCCAGGTTCTTGAATCCCGGTGGTGCAGGGAGCGCCAGGGGCCCTATAACGTGCCACGTATGGATGTTAGCGCCATAGATCTCCTTGGGACAGGAGCCCTTCCCACCCCCCGCCGGCTCTGCATAGGGAGAGACTTTTACTAAGGTCCTTTCTGTGCCCAGCTCCTAAGCTGGAGCCTGCAGGGGAGGGGAGAGCCCTGGAGGAAAGGGCTGGTGCCGGGCGGGGAAGTGACTCTTCCCAAAGGGGGCCCCTTTCAGGGATTTGCAGGTGAGTTTGCAGGTGAGGCTCCCCATGTATCTCCGGGGGTCCCAGAGCTGCTGCCCTCGGGGACAGAGTCAGGATCCCGCCGGAGAGCCAGCGCCTGTGGGAACGGACCAGTCCCCCATTCTGTGAGGCAGAGGGAAGGAGACAGGAAGGGGAAGGGTGAAAGTGAAAGGGCGGCAGGAGCAAAAGGTGCTGAGGGAGGTTCCCAGCTCCCAGCCCTGCCTGGAAACATCCCTGCATCCCCTTGGAGAACCTGACTCTGCTGGGAACAATGGGAGGAGCTGCGGGAGGGAACGCTGGATCCTGGCCCGGCTGAGTCCCCGCGCTGCTGGGGGGAAGGGCTGCCCAATGTCAGGGGAACCCCCCAAAGTGGCTCCTTAGCTTCTGCTCTTTTCTTTGTTGTAGAGACTCCATCCCTGGGGGCGTTTCAAAGTGCCTGAGGACTGGCTGGCTGACAGGTCCGTGTTGCGATATGAGGGTTTTCCCAGCCGGACAAGAGCCCAGACCATGTGTTCAGGGGCAGGGACTCGGGGGGAGACAGGGACTCAGGCCCCTTCTGACACCTCCCCCATCGCTCCTCTCTCCCGACAGGCCCAGGAGACACATCGAGAGTTCGCTCTAGAGCGCCCGTCTGCCAGGGGCCAGGGCCAAGCAATGGCCGGGATGGAGCCAGCTCAGGTAGGGGGTTCAGGGAGCTGCGGGGGGGCAACTCCTGTAAAGGGGGAGAGGCAGGAAACGCACAGGTTGAGGCATGTAGGGGACAGGGTCTGAGAAACCTGCTGGGACACATTGAACCTGGGAATGATTTTCTCAAAAACAGCCCGTGGGTGGGGGAAGGGATAATTTCCCCCATTTCTGAACCAGGAAATATCCCCTAAAAACTGCCCAGACTCCCACTGTGGAAGTCTGACCCCACGGGGCTGCTGGGAAACACAGAGGGAAGCTGCCGGGATTCCTGTCCCCGTCCTCGGCTCAGAGCTCGTCTTCCCACCTCATCCCGTGGCTGGCAGGCGTGTGGGGAACGAGAAGACCCTGCCCTGCCTGCTGGGGGCACAAGGAGCTCTCCCCTTCTCCCAAACCTGCAACCTCCTGGCTGCTCTGAGCAGGGTGTGGGGGGGATTCTACTTTTCTGGACCATGACTAGCAGGATGGTGGCTGGGGCCGCAGGCAGTGGGTGAGGGACTCTTGTTGTTGCAGATGCGGGTGACCTTCGAGGAGGTGGCTGTGTATTTCACCCCGGGGCAGGGGGCGCTGCTGGGCCCCGCTCAGAGAGCCCTCTACAGGGACGTCATGCAGGAGAACTACGAGGCGGTGACCTCGCTGGGTAAGGGCGTCCCGTCCTCTTGGTTATTGGAAGTAGTGGGGCTTGCGTGTCTGAATCCGGTCAGTCGGATTGGGAGCAGGGGTCCCGGGGTAGGTCTACACTGCAGGCTTTTTGTGCAAGAACAGCTGTTCTTGTGCAAAAACTTGCCAGGTGTCTACACTGCATGCGTGTTCTTGCACACGTAAATTGATAATATAGCGTTGGAAAAAAAGGGCTTCTTCCGGAAGAGTTATTCCTCTCCCCACAAGGAATAAGCCCTCTTGCGCAAGAGCTCTTCCACAAGAGGGCAGAGTAGACAGGCAACATTAATTTCTTGCACAAGAAGCCCCTATGGTTAAAATGGCCATCAGAGCTTTCGTGAGCAAGAGATGCTCTTGTGCAAAAGCACATGGCAGTGTGGACGTGCTCTTGTGGATGATTTTTTGCACAAGAACTCTGCAGCAAAACTGTTCTTGCGAAAAAAGCCTGCAGTGTAGACAAAGCCTCAGGGTCCACAACTCTTGCATGGGAGAAACTTGCCTCTTCCTGCTCCGTTTGAGGGATCGGGGAGTCAGAAATTGGCAGGGGTTTAATCCCTGAGCTCTGTGTGTGTCAGCAAGTCCCCCAGAGCACACTCTGCCCTGAGACCTGGTAGTGTGGGTATAACAACCCTCTCTTCTCCCAACCCCAGATGTCTGTTGCTCCCCAGGGATCCGAGTTACCATAATCCCGTTTACGGTCAGGTTAAAGTCAGGGAATGTTCCTAGTGACAGATACTCTCCCAAAACTCCGTGTGCCCTGACCATGCTTGATTTCAACCCCCCTGTGCAGGATTCCCCATTCCCAAGCCTGAACTGATCACCCAGCTAGAACATGGGGAAGAGCCGTGGGTCCCGGACCTCCAGGCCGACAAGGAAATGGAGAGCCTGAAAGGTACCCGCACAGGTGAGAAGTCAGTGAAACAGAGACAGAAATATCTGGTTAGTGAAGGGAGAAGCCGGGATTCTCTAAATGGGCTGTGAGCGAGAGCCCCCAGTTCTGCCCCACTTCACCACATCCTCTGGCAAGGAGTTCCGCCAGTTGATAGTGCCCTGCAAGTCAGGGCTCCAGTCAGCAGGCATTGTAGCATCAAGGCAAAGATCAGTCACAGCTTCCCATCCATCCTGTGAGCTGTCAGGAATTTCCAAGAATTTCAGTCAAAAAAGCAAACAGAACATTAGGAATCATTTAAAAAGGGATAGAGAATAAGAGACCATCTTATTGCTTCTCTATAAAACCATGGTACGCCCACACCTTGAACACTGCGTACAGATGATGGCACCTCAGCTGAAAAAAGCTACATTGGCATTGGAAAAGGTTCGGAAAAGGGCAACAAAAACGATTAGGGGTTTAGAACGGTTCCCATATGACGAGAGATTAAAAAGACTTGGATTTTTCAGCTTAGAAAAGAGGAGAATAAGGGGGGATAGGATAGAGGTCTATAAAATCATGACTGATGTGGAAAAAGTGAATAAGGAAAAGTGATTTACTTATTCCCACAATATAAGAACTAGGGATCATCAAATGAAATGAATAGGCAGCAGGTTTAAAACAAACAAAAGGAAGTTTTTCTTCACGCAGGGCACTATCAACTGGCGGAACTCCTCGCCAGAGGATGCGGTGAAGACTTGCACTTTTAAGAGGGTTCAAAAAAGGGCTAGATCAGTTCATGGAGGTTAGATCCATCAATGGCTATTAGCCAAGATAGGTAGGAATGGTGTCCCTAGCCTCTATTTGTCTGGAAATGGATGACAGGAGAGGGATCATGTGATGATTACTTGTTGTGTTCCCTCCCTCTGGGGCATCTGGCGTTGGCCACTGTCAGCAGACAGGATCCTGGGCTAGATGGACCTTTGGTCTGACCCAGGATGGTCGTTCTTATGTTCCTCATTGACTTTCCTTCCCTGGAAGTGTTTGGGTGGGATGTGGAGGCAAAATCCAATTTCTCATCCTCCCCAACAGTTATTGTGTAGTATGTTACCCCTGTGTTATTCTGCTTTCTGTCTTCCCTCCTCCCCCCGGCACAGGCAGTGACTCCTGTCTGGGTTTTCTCTCTCCCAGGAGGTGATGGGATAGAGAGTGAGAACACGGAGGAATGTCAGCAGCAGGAAGGTCCTGGGAAAGTTGAACGAAGGGAATTTTCCCCAGAACTGGGAAGAGGGGAATGCCTGGGGAGATCGACACAGGTCAAAGATGCAGCTGAGAAACTATCCCAGGAAGAAACTGGATGAATCCATTCAATGTGCTGGAGGATGTGTGGATGCCAATGAAACCACAGTCAAGCAGAAAAGTCCCAATGAAGAGAAACCCTACAAATGCCTTAACAATGGGAACAGATTGTGTTTCAGTGCAAAACGTACTACAAGTAGGAAACCCCGCACAGGACAGACATGCTATAAATGCTTAGACTGTGGGAGAAGCTTCAGCAAGAAGTCTTCTCTCGTTCTACACCAAAGAGTGCACAGAGGAGTGAAAACCTGTAAATGCCTTCAGTGTGGGAAAAGTTTTAGTCAGAGATCACACCTTATTGCACATCAGAAACTGCACAAAGGAGGGAGACCCCACAGATGCCTTGAATCTGGAAAACGTTTTAGCAAAAATGTATCCCTCATTAATCATGGGGAAATCCATACGGGAGAAAAATCTTATAAATGCCTTGAGTGCGGGAAAAGTTTCAGTCTGAAATCAACCCTTAATAGACATAAGAAAACCCATTCAGGAGAGAAACCCTATGCATGTTTGGACTGTGGGAAAATTTTCAGTCAGCGCTCAAACCTTAGTCAACATAGGAGAATCCACACAGGAGAAAGACCGTATAAATGCCTTGAGTGTGGGAAAACATTTGGTCAGAGCTCGTATCTTATTAAACATAGGAGAATCCACACAGGAGAGCGACCCCATAAGTGCCTTGAGTGTGGGAAAACTTTCATTCGTGACTCACATCTTACTAAGCATAGGAAAATCCACACAGGTGACAAACCCTATGAATGTATCATCTGTGGGAAAAGTTTCATTGAGAGAACAAAACTTACTAGACATCAGGCAGTCCACACAGGAGAGAGACCTCATAAGTGCTTGGACTGTGGGAAAAGCTTCACTCTGAAGTCCCATCTTACTATACACCAGAGGCTGCACACAGGCGAGAGACCCTTTAAATGCCTTGAGTGTGGGAAAAGCTTTAATCAGAGCTCCAATCTTATCACACATCAGCGAACCCACACAGGAGAGAGACCTAACAAATGCCTTGAGTGTGGAAAGACTTTTAAGCACAGTTCATCCCTTATTAATCATAGGAGAGTCCACACAGGAGAGAGACCTTATAAATGCCTTGCGTGTGGAAAAAGTTTTATGGAGAGTTCATCCTTTACTAAACATGGGAGAATCCACACAGGAGAAAGACCTTATAAATGCCTAGAATGTGGGAAAAGTTTTGTGGAAAGTTCATCTCTTACTAAGCATGGGAGAATCCACACAGGAAAAAGACCCTATAAATGCCTGGAGTGTGGGAAAAGTTTCTGTTTGAAATCAACCCTTAATTCACATCAGAGATCCCACACAGAAGAGAAACCCCATAAATGCGTGGAGTGTGGGAAAACTTTCAGTTGGCGCTCGACACTCCTTAAACATCAGAGAATTCATAAGGATAAGAAGCCACAGAAATAGCTTGACTGCAGGAAAAGATTCAGTTTGCCTTTACCCATCAGTGACAAACTTAACGGACAGACC